TAGTTAGTTAGTTAGTTAGTTAGTTAGTTAGTTAGTTAGTTAGTTAGTTAGTTAGTTAGTTAGTTAGTTAGTTCGGTCGTTCGTTCGTTCGTTCGTTCGTTCATCCTATAATATCCCTTCCACAATGGTGGAGTAGGGTACCAATTACTGTATGATTTACTTAATAATGTGACGTATCCTCTTTCGCTAAATAAGCACCCATTTGTCCTGTTAAAGGCATTATAACTTTTAACATTAATAACAATTCCAAGTGAGTGAAATTTCATTTAATCATATTGCGCTTTAAGAATGCAACTTCAAAATAATAATCTTTATATCTATAACTGATTTATATAATTATCAAGATTTCCGCTTCTATAAAACTTAATAAATTCAAGAAAAAAAAAACTGTAAAGTTGTTAAAACTAAATTATAGACTCTTAAATTGCTGTGAACAAACAAAACTGTATTGACAGAAAGAAAAGCCGGCAAAAAAACACACACGTTTATTCATATTGAAAATTTTTTGAAATAAGTGAGATTTGTTGTGTATAATTTTTACTTTTTTTCAAAAATTATATATGAATAAAAACGGATGTTTAACACACAATAAAAAATACACCTTAAATAGAGGGAAGTAAAGTAATCTCGTATATATTTGTTTGAGTTTTGACCAAAGTTTAGAGTTGTATTCTTTCTATTCATCTAAATACAAATGATGTTAATATTATTTTTGTTACTTTTTTTCTACCAATACATCCGGTTGCGTGTGAATTTAATTGAAATATTGTTAATTTACGTTATATGTATGTAAAAAAGAATAAAATGTAAAAAAAAATAAAATCAGAATTGATATGAAATCTATAGTAGATGCAAAATTAAATATGCAAAACGGTTTTATACATTTATGAATGAAATCACAAATATGAAACCAAATAACTTTTATTAAAAAAAAGTTCAAATGTTAAAAACAAAAATTCATTCATTCAACGTAAAACAATTTTTTTACAAATTGTTTATTTTAACATTTATTGTTAATAAAGTAACTTTTAAAATCAATATTTTATTAAAAATTTAATAATTGTTGGCAGGTCTTAATAAATTATTTAAATCTCTTTACAAATCAGTACAAAACTTTCCACTCTAATTCTCGTTTTTTTTTTTTCTGATAAAACAAATGTATTTCAACAATTATCAAATACTAATTAAATTTAGCAACTATTTATTAATTTGCAAAATCAATAATATTATTAACAATTGTCCAAAGTCAATAACAAACTCTTTTTAACAATTAGGGAAAATTTAACACATTTAATAATGTGTTTAGACTAAAAACATCATTTATCAAATTTTAATGAAATCTATACTCTTTTATTGAAATAAACAAATAATACTTGTATAAGAAATAATAAATATTATTTATTTAAATAATAAAAAGTTAATAAATCAAATTAACTTCATCATATTAACAATCATTATTTGTTGAGTTGTTTAAACACAAAAAACAACATGTGTAAGAAAACGATTAAACAATTAATCACTTTTAAGCAGAAAATTAACAACAAATTATTTAATGGACACTTTTTTGTTACTTTTTTGGGAGATACACAAAAACGGTTTATAAAAGTGGGTGTGGGTTAATAAACAAAATTTGATGTGATGAAGTAATATAATTAAGTGATTGTTTGGGAGAAGATTATATATTTCAAAGTAATTTGTTAAGAATGTTTCTTTCTGATTTGCTGTAGGGGACCTTTTATAAATATCGGTCCATAAATAGAGAGTTAAATTTAAAGTTCTTTTACATTTGCATCACACATAATCTAATAACAGAACATTAAAAATATAAACATTCATATGTTACGAGTTTCTACGCCACTTTATAGGGGAGGGTTATATCGACGCAGAATGACTTTCGATTAAGCTGAGTCCGTCCGTCCGGCTGGCTGCCCGTTGAATAACAAAACATTAAAAACATGCAGTTTCATATGTTGTGAGTTTCTACGCTACTTTGGAGGGTAGGTTTGTTTTAGGCTTGTGCTCCCCCCGGGGCATGTTTCCTTGATGAAAGACCCTCATCTTGGTGCATTGTAATCTCGGGGTATAGAGATGCTACCAGTACCTCTAGTCTGCCGGGACTATAAACTGATGATGTAATTTCACTCCTCGGCTAGTCCTTGGAATAATTTGACATGGGGTCTAACCAGACAACTACATTATCTGGTACTACAGGTGGCCAGTTGCCTTCAGAGCTTGTCCTGGTTGGTCGTATGTTGTTCTCTTATGAGTATGTCGGCTGAATAAGATGTGTGCAGTGTTGAATGGCGATGGATGAAAGGTATCTTGAGCAAGTGATACCATTGAATTTTCCTTAGTTGTCCAGGTATGTTCAGAGCAACCCTGTTTTGTACAAGATTTACCACAGTGAGTAAGAACAAAGTCTTGGTCTATTTGATGGCTTCGTACTTCGGTCTACCGGTTACGTCTCTAGGTGCTGCTGCCGACTCAACAGAGGCCATCCCACCTGCGTGGTTGTAAACGGAAGTGATGTTTTTGCATCTCGGAAGTTAAGCAACGGAGCAGCAATGGTCTGAGATTAGATAGCTCAACTACTTGAGAGTAGCTGCGTGTAAGGAGCACAATGGAGGTGAGTCGTCACAAAAGCTCACCCAGTGGTTGAAAAGGACCAGCGTGAAATAGGCCGTCCATCCATTCGCCCAGCTGACTGTTCATGTAAATCGTGTGTGCACGGTACAGACCGAAATTTTCAAAATATTTTAATGAAATTTGAAACATTTCGGTGGTCCATTATTTCACCTAGCTCTCAATCCGATTTATCTGATTTAGGCTCCCTATGAGAAAATGTTTCTAAAGCCTATAATAGTCTTAAAAATACATATAATATACATTATAGCGATGAAACAAGTATAAAAATCTCCTTAACAAATTTATAAGGATCTCATAACACAGGCCGAAAAAATTTAAAAAAATTCGAAACCTTGAGACCAACATTTAATTTTCTAAAGGATTGAGCCACTCTGAATCCGAATTTGACCTCACATTTTGAATCCACACCCACCTGAGGATGTTTCAATCATCGACTTAAAATCAATTTTATAAATTGGGTTTAACGATGTCTGTCCGTCCATCAGCTTCAACGGATGATATCTCAGCAACTACAGCAGATTTTTAAACAATTCAAAAAGTATTTTCATAGGCAAATGTACGAAAAAATAAGTTTTTTCCAATTTATTGTTGTATCAAACTTTAGGTGTAGATATCTCGAAGCCCAGATGTGAAAGAGAAATTCTGAAATCAGATTCGGATTCAGAGCGGCGCGATTCTTTAGAAAAGTATTTTTTCGTCCTGTGTAATTGATAAAAAAATTGAGGTATTAAAATAAATTCTACAAAATTCCCTCTTAAATGGAAATTTTGTTGTTTCGTTGAAAACATAAAGGGAAATCAATTGAAATCAAGATAATTTATAATTTTGCATGCGATTTTTAAAGAAAGATAAAGCAAAGAACTTTCAGAATATAAAAAATCCTTCAAATCGAATGGAAAAACTTAAAATAGCATCTGTTTAAAAATGTTACATGTATTAGATGGCTTTTGAATCTGGATCTGTGGAAATCCTTTATAACATTTCCAAAAAATATCAATTTATCTCATTGTAATATGAAGAGGGCGCTGCGGAATGTGTATGAAGATATTGTATGTACTGTTAAAAGTAGTCTAAACCTGTAGTGATCTTGATAATTTAGTTCTACCAACTAATATTTATTACAAGAATACTCATCTCGACATGCGGGTTGTTATGATTTATACGTATTCTTTATGTGTTACGACCCGCTATTGAAAATTGATCTTGTATGAGACGCACATTCTATGTATGTATTAAATTTCTTTCGTTCTACCATGTAAAAAATACGTTTTCATCGTATTATCCCATGATAATTTAGTTATGCCAATTTTAGTAATAGTTTCTAAATTCAAGAGTAATTTGGGAAGTACTGATTTGTATTATCTGTAATCATATAATGTTAAAGCAAAAAAAATAGTTGTTTGTTTATTTAGAAATAAATTAAAAAATATGAAATCATTAAAAAAAATCCACTGCAAAGATTTTGGTTTAGAACTTATACTATTTTTGCTGTTTTGGGATGATATGTCTTTATAAAAAAAAAAGAATAAATGACCTGATAAGAACATGACAAATAACTGCATAGATAAAGTGGGATTCATTTTTACCGTAGATATCGATTTGTTGGTGTCTGTCCGTCCATGTATTTTGACATTTTGATATTTAAGGATAATTTCATTACATTGAGAAAATATTCCTTTTGAATTTGGTAAATATCTGCCTCCGGTAGGTTAGTAGGAGGATGCAGGAGGTCTTGGGTTCGATTCCCACCAGAGACACTGGTAAAGGAGAGTACAACAGGCCCAATGGGGCCCTAGGTGTATGTTTTCAGATTTGATGTTAAATACAGCCTCCTTTCAAACTAACTAACATCGGTTCAAGTTTTCACATTTATCAGATTGATCCAACAATTTATCACAGTCACTTTTTAAAGCTAAATAATTAAACATTTTTTTTTTAATTTTATATTATTTTCCAGATATTTCATTTAACTACAAAGAAACCCATTTTCTCGAAATTATCACAATAACAAAAATTAAAATTTCCCAAAAACATGAAATTCACCATTTCCTACGAATTACTCATTTAGCATGATTTTTCTAAACTAAATATAATAATAAAATTTTTTGCAAAATAATATTAAATTCAACCCGAAACCAACAATTTTTAAAATGATATGAGTGGGGAAAATGATAAAAAAAGCAACGCAAAAAAAAAGCTTATCACTGTCATAAAAGCTAAAACACAGAATTTGTGTTTTTTTTTTATCTAAAAGAGATAAACAAAATTAAGAAGAAAATACGACTGTGTTGATAGTATTATTTTCTATTTAACATCAACGCATCATCATGGACTGACTCTTTTATGATTGTAGACCCATATCTTAGCTTTTTTTTTGTTTTGCTGGTAGTGAGCAAAAAGATAAAGAGCAGCAGCAGTAAAAGATAGATGATGTGTGTGAAAAATAGATCTTTCAGCAAGGGATCGAGAAAGAAAAAATAAATTATAAACATTATATGATTGGCCAATTTGCACAAAAAAAGAATATTTCTAGCGTCAAGCCGAACTTTTACGAATACACATACTTTGAAAGTACTAGCAGGTGAGAAAAAAAGCTTTTGCTCTTCTTACTCACACAAACTAACGGGGCTATAAATAAGAAGCACACGATAAAACCGTAATAAATAAGATTTAACTCTTTTTAGCGCTCTCTCTGTCTGGGCTTTGTTCAAACAGGATCTGAACGTATATTACGTTGTGACAAGTTTTAAACCAACATCAGTCCAAAGTGGTCGCAACTTAAAAAAACATCTCGCTCGCAGTGATACCAAAAATACAAAACAATTGGAGACACACACTAGAAAAAACCTTCAGAGTTAAATAAACCGAGTTAAAACAAAATAATAATAATAAATATACTACGAAATATATTTACATGTATTAACGAACAAAAAAAAATTAAGAGCAAAAAAATTGTTTTTGTTAAAAATTTAAAAAAATTTGTTTACATTTGTTTATGGTATAGTGTAAACGCATACTCGCATTCGCACACACTCAGACACAAGAGCAACACAACACAAGTTTAAACTTCGAAAATACAAAAACAGTAACGAATATTTGAATTTTGTTGAACTCAACTTGCGAAGTTAAATTTAGTATTTGAATTTAATACCGTTTTGCTACGTTTTCGAGTTGGTCGTGTTTTTACAACTTGCTCTTCAAATTTCAATTGAAAAAATAAAAAATTCAAACTGTTCCGTGTTCGAAAAAAACAAATAATTTTAAAAAGTATTTAAAGAAAAGTTTAAAAGAAATTTTAATATTAAATTAAAACAACAAAAGTGTAATAAAATTTCCTAAACAAGTTTTATAAAGAAAAAAATTTAATAAATTAAAAACAAAAAAACAAAATTTTTTTTAATAATATTTTTTTTTTTAAAGAAATATAAACAAACGGAAATGTAAATCACTCGCCCCCCATATTACTTGATATTAAATATTAAAACTTATTAATATAAAGAAAAATTTTAATTAAAAAAAATTAAACAAAAAAAAAGTAAAATTAATAGAAAAAGTGTTAAATATTAATTAAATAAAACTATTAAAAATTATATATAAAATAAAATAATAATTAAACCAAAAATTACTAATTTTAAACAAATCTAAAGCTGTTAAGGAACACATTTTATAACTAAAGTAATCGTTTACTATTCCTAACAAAAAACAAAATATAATTTATTTAAGGTAAGTGGCTTTAACAAACACAACAAATCTGTTATTGTTTTTTAAATTTATATTTTTGTTGTTCTCATTAAAAAATAATTAATTAAGTTTTTTGTCTCTGTTTTGCAAGTAATTTAAAATAAAAGTGTAATTAACTTCTAATCTTATTGACTATAAAGACATATCTTAAGAATTTTTTTTTTTGGCAAAAATTTAACAATAATTTTGATCGAAAAAAATTGTTTAAAAACATGTTTAATTGTATTGTGTGAATTGTTTATGCTTCATTTAATTCAAAGTGATTTGGTTTTAAGGGTTACCAGGCTTGTTAAAAAAAGAGAAATGTTTTGAAAATAATTATAAATTAATTGGAATTTTTTATTGTTGTTCTAAGATTTAATTAAGAGATTTTAAATTTATTTAGGTATTTTTTTATTTAAAAAAAGTTTTTAATTATTCAAAAATTTAATATTAAGAAATTTTCCATTAAATTTACAAAACAATGGAAAATTTTATAAATATTTTGTTTTTACAAAAAATAAATAAATTTAAATAACAAAATTTATAAAACAATGAAAACAACAAAAAAGAAGAAGAAACTAATTTGAGATTAATTTTATAAATATTTGTTTGTTTACTTTCTTTTATAATATTAAACGAAGATTTTTTTAAATTTTAGAAATTATTTTTTATTTTCAAAAATGTTAAAACGGAAAAAAAATATTTAATCATATTTATGCTATATTTCACTTCATTAATGAAGAAACAATATAGGAAAATCAATGAAAAACTTCATTGTTGAAATGTAAAAAGTTCGTTCCATTAATGTCGGATATAATTATATTAGTGAAGCAATGTAATAAAACCAATGTCAAAATTCATTGAATATATGATAAAGTTTCTTAATATCAACGAAACATGGCGTTATACTATTAAGACAAAATCGTTAAATTAATGACTTTTTTTCTTATTATTATTAAAAAAAGATTCATTAATTTAATGTATCCCTTTCATTATGTTGTTTAATGATATTTTACAGTGTAAAAACGTATGGTGATGTTATTTATATTTAAGAAAATTTTGAGATTAATGAAACATTGTTCATTGATGCAATGAAAAATTTCATTCCATTAATGTAGGATATAATTATATTAGTTCATTACTGATAAAGTTCCTTAATATCAACGAAACATGTCGTTATACTATTAAGACAAAATCGTTAAGTTAACGATTTTTTTTCATATTATTATTAAAAAATATTCATTAATTGAATGAATCTCTTTCATTATGGAAATTGTTTCAATTGTTTAACAATATTTTGCATTGTAAAAACGTATGGTGACTTCATTTATATACTGTATATTAATGACATTATTTCATTATATTTACGAAAATTTTATGATTAATGAAACATTTTTCGTTAATGCAATGACACTGGTAATTGAAGTGATTTCAAAAACATAATATAATGTAGAAAAACTTTGTATTTACGAAGGTTTTTCTTTCAGTGTAGTGATGTCCGTTTTTGGAAAATTTCAATACTTTGTAATGCAAGGTTTCTTGAAGCCATTTGAAATGGTGAACAATCCTTTAAAAATTACATTTTATTTGATTCAAAATATAAAAATCTGACATTTGGAAGAAACTAATGTTAACCTCATTTTTATCTTTAAACTTCTTCACAAAATATGTATTGCATTTCTATAAATGATTAACTTATTTTAAACACCCCTATTAGACTGTTTGGTCCCGATATTGTGTCCTCCACAGTTTTAATCTGCTTTACTGATTAAAAATGTGTGTAAATAAGAAGACCTATTCTTTAACATGATTTCTATTAAACTGTTTGTATCCGATATTGCGTTAAGCTTAGATTCTAAGGGTTACTGGTATGAATCCTCTAAGCTGCTTAGCTCTGATCAGTCAGTGAACTACTTTTACTCTCTGCCTTTTGCTGGTTTAAATCCGATATAGGCAAAGAGTACAATATTTGCTCTCTGTCTGATCTTGTTTAGTTTTTATACATCTCTTATGACAGCTTTTTGCGGATCGCAAGTTTTCTAGACGATAGACTCAATTTGTAGGAGAGATAGAGGTCAAGGAGGTACAACTTTTTTGACCTTTCTACGAAATTAATTTTGTTTCTTTGTGCAAGTTTAAAAGAGAACAAGAAAAAATTGCAGAAATAAAACTTGCTAGGGGAAGATTTTAGAGGCTCCGCTCAAAATTATTAATATTTTTATTATTAATTTATAAACAATTCTTAATCCCTGATTAAGTCAATATTTTATGGTGAATTTTTATAACTTTAAAAATTTTTAAACCAAATTTATATTTAAAAAAAAATTAAATCGTAAAAATTTATTTCAAAAATGTGCGCTATAAAATCAGTCAAGGCTTTGTCTTTCGTTCGATGATAATATCAACTGATTTGCAAAATTCCAATAAATATATAATAAAACTTGACTGCAGTTTAAACGGCTAGTTTTTGGTACAATTAAAAGCAGATTAAGCACTAATGAGCTGTTTGGTCCTGCTGAAATTTCATTAAAGATATGATGAGATCACACATTATCACTGATAGGAGATAAAAATATCAGTCTACTTAAGATAAAGTTTTAACACACATTTAGTTTTTTAGTTGCATTTTATAGGGTACTTTTTCTAGAATTTTATAACTTTTTCTAAAACATTAACTTTCTATAATAGACAATCTCGATTTGAAAAATAATTATAATAAACCCCACACAGACTTAAAGATATAAATCTACAAAAGTTGTAAAATTCCCATAAAAAATAGAGACGAAAAAAAGGCAATAATCTAGCGGAAGTTTTCAAACAACAAAACTTTAAACTAATTTTGTAAAAAAAATTCTAAACTTTACTCATAATAATCATTAATAATATATATTTTTTTCATATTTATTTATTTATATTTGTTAAAACAGTAGCGACCATTAGAATTTTTCTCACAAATAAATTATAGTTTATGAACAAAAACAAACAAATTATTTTAAAAGCTAAATTTAAGAAAAAAACTAACAAAAGAGTTAAAAGTTTTTGCTTGAACAAATAAATAAACAAAAAAAAAAAAAAGAAAAAAGATTAATTAAATTTTTTTAACAATAGTTTTATTTCTTAAAGAGAAATCTTTTATTATTAAAATTAATTTGTTTGTTTTTTTTTATAAATAATTTAGAATTAAGAAAATCTTTAGTTAAACATAATTAGCAATAATGATATAATCTAAATTAGTTTTTTATTTGCAGTGTTTTTTGTTGTTATTATTATTGTTTATATATATTTTATTGTATTTTTAAATTTTATTGTTTAATATTATATTTAGTTTTGACATGCAAACTACTAGTTATTTAATACAATTAATAAACGTCAGAAAAAAACAACAGAACAACAACGACAAATTATCATAAACCTATTTAAATGTTTTAGATTTAAGATCATTTAAATATTAAAATATTTGATTAATATTCTTGTTATCAAAACTTAAAAATTATTAAAATTTTTTGCTAGAGATAGAGCCGCCTGACACAGAACTTCTAACCTGAATGGTTTTGGGGTGGATAGAGAGTGTGACCGGTTTTAGTTTGAAAAGTTTATATAAAACGAAATCTGTTTTATAAATGTTCTCACCCTTAATAAGTTTTCATTAATTTCCCTCAGAGAAATTTAGAATATCAAGGGATTTCTGGTAATTTCTAAAAACTAGATATATAAATTATAATTTTGTATTTGTGCAATTTTTTCCAAAAGTCTCTATTTTAATTTTATTATAACAAAAAGTTTGTATTTTTTTAAATAAATACTTCCCACTTATTTGTGTTCATTGCGTTTTTTATCTGATAACTGGTGAGAGAAACAAAAAAAAAATTAACACAAAAATTAATTGAAAAATATGTAAAAACACACATTTGTGATTTTTTCATTAGTCAATAACAAAAGTTAAAAAAAAGTAAAAACACTTCTATTTGTGAAACTATTAAACAAATTGCAATTTAAGGTGACCAGAGCTCTAAATTTAAATTTCCTAACTCAAACAATAAAGTGGCCAATTAGTGGAAAATTTACACATGGAAATAGTAACGCAAGTGGTCCTTTGTTATTAGAGATTGGTAGCACATATTATAGACTAGAATAAAGACTAGACTATAAACTAGACTGTAGACTAGATTATAGTCTAGACTATAGACTAGACTATA